GCAGCGTAACTTGTCTTTCCTTATACTCAACGCCCCTTCCAATGAAGGCAAGCATGCCATAAACCTTTTTTATTACCTTATTTACCTGTGCTGCCACCTTCACTGATCTGTGGACCTGCACACCCAGATCCCTCTGCATATCAATACTTGTAAGGGTTCTTGCCATTCACTGTATAATTTCCATCTGTACTTGACCTTCCAAAATGCATCACCTCACATCTGTTGGGATTAAATTCCACCTGCCATTTTTCTGCTTATGCCTCCCAATGGTCTATATCCTGCTGTATCCTCTGACAATCATCCTCACTATCCACAACTCCACCAATCTTTGTACTGTCCGCAAACTTATTGATTAGACCAGTTATGTTTTCCTTCAAATCATTTATGTAGATCACGAATAGCAGAGGTCCCAGCACCGATCCCTGTGGAACACAGCTGGTCACAACCCTCCATTCTGAAAAGCACCCTTACACCGCTACCTTCTGTCTCTTATGACTAAGCCAGTTCTTGCCAGCTCACCCCTGATACCGTGTGACTTCACCTTTTGTACCAATCTGCCATGAGGGACCTTGTCAAAGGCTTTACTGAAGTCCATGTAGATAACATCAACTGCTTTTTCCTCATCAATCATCTTCATCACCTCCTCAAAAAACTCGATCAAGTTAGGGAGGCACGACCCCCTCTGCACAAAACCATGCCGTCTGTCGCTAATCAGTCCATTTGCTTCCAAATGCATGTAGATCTAAAACTGAAACCCAAGAACTCCTCCTTTAAGATGCATGTTTCCCTTAAGTTTAAGAAAGCTCAAGCTTAAAAAAATCTACTTCCAGCAGTCTCTAACAAACCTTGAGGCCCGATTGTTTATTTTTCTGGGTCATAAAGCAGTCTAAGGTAAACAAAAATTCATTACTGGTAATGTTAATATTTACAAGTTAATTATTCAGTTCAGACACACATAAAATCCACAGGTTACAAAGTCAAAAGCCAAAAACTGAAATTTAGAATAAATCAAATTAAAATATAAACCTCACAGTTTACATCAAATTCATAATTTTAACCATACATACTGCCATGAGTCTTTGCAGGGAAACACTGGAAGGTCAATTAAGATACCACCCCCACTCATTCTGATAGCCCCAATAGGTTGAAAAATACTTGAGGTTTAGTTGTGCATTGCATTTACTGTAATATGGCTATACAGAAGCAAAAGAAAACCCATAAATGACTGTAGTACTTGCCTTAGAAAGAATTTAACATATCTTTAAAAGCTATGTTTTTTTCTAAATCTTTTGATTAGATTTTGGATTAACATAACATGAGTTTTCAGCTCCATGATATTTTGACAAACGGCCTTTTGGGTCGATCAACACAAAATGGACAAGGGTAGTTCAAGAAGGCAGCTCACCACTTTCTCAAAGGCAACTAAGGATGAGCAATAAATACTGGCCCACCAAATAATGCTCATATCCCAGCAATGAATTGGGAAAAAGAAACCCTGTATAATTCCTGCTCAGTGTCATGAGATCAAAATCCTGGTGTATTTATCCTTTCCTGAGAGGGTGTTAGATATAGAACTGACAAATAAAATGGTTAAAGAACAATAATGGAAGATGTTTATTCTGTCAATAAATGTTGACACTAGTGACATCAATATGCGCATACCGTTCCAACTTGGACAGTTTATTACTTTATTAGTTACCTTATTATTTCTTTAGTATAGGGTCTATTTCCTGGAATTTCACTTTAACAGTGATGAGGGTGTAACTATGTCATGTGGACAGCAGTGGTTCAAGAGGACTTAACCACCACCATCTCAAGGAAGGTTAGGGATGGGCAATAAATGTTAGCCTAGCACACACTGATCCTCAGATAAAGAAAAGATAAAAATAGCATTCTGAGCATTTGTAACTTGTTTTGCCTTTAATCCCAAATTATACACAGAAATAAAGGACAAAGGAAAACTAGGAGTCTGTAATCTCAGGGACCTAAACAATTTGAGTGAAAAGATACATGATAAAGAAGTATTACAATTGGAAACTGGATGTTCTTATAAATCCGTATTGTTATCTTGCCCAATTTTTATCTGAAGCTCTAATCCAGTCCCATTTTCTGCAAGGAGCTCTACTTCCATCTATATATTTTACTAGAATCAAATTCTATCCAATCTACTGAAAAATTCTAAATCAGTCATAATCTTTAATTGGAATCTAAGGTTTTGGAGTATTTTTGTAGCTCGGGTTGTGGGTGTTGAGGTTGGTTGGCTCGCCGAGCTGGTTTGTTGTTCCGCAGACGTTTCGTTACCGTGCTTGGTAACATCCTCAGTGCAGCCTCTGATGAAGCATCGGTGTGTTTTCCCGCCTGGTTTTTAAACTCTGGGGTCCGTTGCGATGGAGTCAGGAGATGCCTACAGGAACAGCATCAGAAAGATTCTACACACCCCGACACACTCATCACACTACCCTACATCAGGAACACGTCAGAACTCACCACAAAACTCCTACGACCGCTTGGCATCAGAATGGCACAGAAGCCCACATCAACCCTACAACAAGTGCTCACTCCCCGCCATGGACAGGACCAATGTCATCTACAAGATCCCCTGCAGAGACTGCAAGAAACACTACATCAGACAAACAGTAAGGAAACTAACAACAAAAGTACATGAACACCAACTGGCTACAAAAAGACACGACCAATACTCACTCATCTCAATCCACATGGACAAGGAGAACCACCACTTCGACTGGGACAACACCAAGATCCTGGGACAGGCTAGGCAGAGACAAGGACGAGAATTCCTGGAAGTATGGCACTCCACGAAGCATGCTATTAATTAACACATTGAACTCGACCCCGTATACATTCAACTACGGAGGAAACCCAGAAGTGAGGCAATCTATCGCAACAGACCCCAGAGTTTAAAAACCAGGCAGGAAAACACACTGACGCTTCATCAGAGGCTGCACTGAGGATGTTACCAAGCATGGTAATGAAACGTCTGCGGAACAACAAACCAGCTCGGCGAGCCAACCAAACTCAACATCTTTAACTGGAATTTTCATATTATTCTGAATCTTTACCAAAAACTTTAACACTATCCCAGTCTAAATTCAAAACTCAAATCCATCTCAAATTTCTCCAAAACTGTAATCCAAATTTAATCCTTATCTGAAGTCTAGTCATCTCAATCTCCATCAGAATAGCTACTCTAAGCTAATTTATTGCTGATAGATGCAATTCAAGCACAATCTTTACCAGAAAATCTACTGAAACTTTGCTTCTAACTGGAAGCTACTAAAATGATCCCGTTCTTTCAAAGCTCTAAATTAATTATAAATCTTTCTGAACACATTTCTTCTTACCTGTAGCCCTAACTCAAAACTTAGAACCACATCTTCTAAAATTAAAAGGGACACTGTGAGGAGCATAGTGTGGGACTCCAAAAAGAGCATTGTTAGCTTGGTGGAGTGGGTGGCAGATGACTAGTGGGCGTAGGTTTAAGGTGAGGGGAGGAAAGTTTAAAGGAGATGTGCAAGGCAAGTTTTTTGCACAGAGAGTGGTAGACACCTGGGATGCGCTGCCAGGGGAGGTGGTAAAAGCAATTAATACAGCAATATTTAAGAGGCATTTATACTCGAACAGGTAGAGAATAGAGGGATCTGGACCACATGCAGCCAGATGGGATTAATTTAGAATGACGAAGACATGGTGGGCTAAAGGGCCTGTTCCTGTGCTGTACAGTTCTATGTTCCGATTGCTCACTCATTACAAAATGGTTAACAAGTATCTTGAAATGTTAATGGAGTGCTGCTTTTATTGCAAGGGTGATGGACTATAAAAATCGAGAGGTAAAGTTGCCATAATTCCAGATAGATAACTGGTAGTGACATTTTCAAGATTGAGACCTGGATTTCCAAGGTCAGGTTATGGGTAGAGATTAAACAAATTACACCTATTTTCTCGAGAATTTAGGAAGTTAAAGGGTGACCTTATCAAAGTCTTCAAGGTAGTTATGGGAAAAGCTAGAGTAGATGAAGGTAAGCTATTTCCTTTGGTTGAGGATTCTAGAACTGTGCAGTATAGTCTAAAATTTAGGGCCAGATTTTTCAGTAGAGATGTTAGGGAGAATCTCTACAGAGGGAGGGTGGTAAATGTGTGGAACTGTATTGCACAAATGAGAGTGGATGCTTGAAGGGAATACATGATGAAAGATAGAACCCAGCAAAGTACAGAGAGTCAGAGGGACCTTGGTGTGCATGTCCACTGGTCCCTTAAAGTATCAGGGCAGATGGATAAAGTCATTAAGAAGGCACATGGAATACTTATCTTTATTAGTTGAGGTATAGTCAGGGATGAAGGGCTTGTCATATGAGGAACGGTTGAGGTCTGTACTCAGAGTTTAGAAGGATGAGGGGGGATCTCATTGAAACTTATAGAGCATTGACAGGCCTGGATAGAGTGGATGTGGAGAAGTTTTTTCCACTAGTAGGAGAGATTAGGACCTGAGGCCACAGCCTCAGAGCAAAGAGCCTTTCAGAGCTGAGATGAGGAGGAATTTCTTCAGGCAGAGGGTGGTGAATCTGTGGAACTCATTTCCGCAGAGGGCTGTGGAAGTCGAGTTATTTGATGTATTTAAGACAGAGATAAATAGATTCTTGATTAGTAAAGGGATCAAGGGTCATGGGGGGAAGGCAGGAGAATGGGGATGAGAAACATATCAGCCCTGATCGAATGGAGGAGCAGACTCGATGGGCCAAATGGCCGAATTCTGCTGCTTTGTCTATATCTTGTATCTTATAGAGTTTAAGACCAAAAGATTATGCTTTAAAATATGTGCTAGAGTATTGTGTGCAGATCCTACATCAGTGTTGGAATTTAGAAGAGTTAGGGGTAATCTTATTGAAACATGCAAGATTCTTAGTGGACTTGTCAGGGTAGATATGGAAAGGTTGTTTCCCCTTGTGGGAATGACTAGGTCCAGAGGGCATAATCTCAGAGAGAGGGTGACACATTTAAGACAGAGCTGAGGAGGAATTTCTTCTATTAATGGATGGGGAATCTGTGGAATTATTTACCGCAGAGGGCTGCCAAGCTGGATCATTAAGAAGGCTGATAGACAAATTTTTAATGAGCAAGGGAATGAGTATTATGGGGTTAAGGCAGGAAAGTGGAGGTGAGGATTATCAGATCAGCCATGATCTCATTGAATGGCAGAGTAGATTCAATGGCTGAATGGCCTATTTCTATTCTTACGTCTTATGGTCATTACAGTCTGTGGGACTGTCTTCCATAGTTTTGTGCATTTTCATCTTTATACTTTTGGCTGTTAAGTGGGGATGTCTTGAGGTCTTAAAAGGTACTACAGAAATACAAATTCTTCCTTTCAGGAAAGGAGTGGAAAATATTGGATGCAGGTGATTTCATTTACAAGTCCAAGAGTTCACAAAAAGTTGACAAACATTATGATCTAATTCACTATTCCCTAATGTTCAGTAATCAAATAGAAAAACAACAGTAATCCATTCAATCAATCAAGCTAGCTCTACCAGTCAAGTGGAGCCATATCCATTGATGTACTTATTGGACAATTCATTAGTAGGAGCCATAAAAACTCCCAATTCACTTGTAACATCAGAAATAAGAATTTCAAATTTTTGTTACCATTTGGGCTGAAATAAAAATGCAAATTGCTGGAGAAAGTGAGCAGGTCTGACGGCATCTGTGGTGAGAGAGGAACAGAATTAATATTTTGAGTCTGATATGACTCTTGTTTTGGGTTCTCAAAACACTATCTTGCTCTTCATGGATGTGGCCAGACCTGCTGAGTTCCTCCAACATTTTCTGTTTTATTTCATTGTTATTTCAGATTGCTGGCAAGGCAGTGCTTTGCTTTTACCATTTGGGTGAAAATTGGCTCTGAACATATTGGAAGACAGCCTTAAAAGTAGCATTGGGCTACCTCACCAGGGAAGATATTTTCTGTCTACATATCAGTGAAGTGCTACAAGCACCTCAATTAGATTAATCATACTGTCCAATGCTAGAAGGAATATAAATCACAGTTTATGTGAGCTGTACTCATAAATGAACTCCCAAAATCCATCACCCATTACATACAACCTTGCCTTCCACATCCTTAGTTATTTCAGTTTTATTCATAACTGTTGATTTGATTGGAGCTGTTGGAGACACAGTTAGTTCACTTGTTCTGCAAGGAAGAAGCTTGATAACAGGATCTAGGAAACTTGCTAACCAGCCCTGTGAACTCGGAGATACGAAACAGTACAAGATGGGATCAGCCACACAGTTTAAACTCATCAGCAGGAGCCCAAAATGGTAAACCTCAAAAATACTGTCAGCAAAGGGACAGTCATATTCTAACATGGTTCGAACCATCAGGAAAATGTGATAAGGAGCAAAGCAAACCAGGAAAATGATGATTGTCCCAGATACCAATTTTTTTATTCTTAATTTCCGCTGTCTTTCAGACCCACGGAGTTTGTGGACAACCCTCAACACTTTATAATAAGAGTAGAGAAATAAGATCAAAGGGAGGCCGAAGCCCATCGAAAGTTTGTAAATATTTAAATATCTGTCCTTTTGACGCAGAGGATAATGTTCAAAACACAAAGTATCATTCCCCTCGTCTTTACTGAGAACCTTGGAGCCCATGTAAATGGTGCAGACAGCTATCTCCTTGAGCCAGATGAGAATACTGATGAGCAAAGCAGCCTTCCTGCTGTGTATGAGTGTAAATTTCAGAGGGTAAGCCACGACGAGGAAGCGATTAATGGCAATGAAGCAGAGGAATCCAATGCTGATGTAGATATTCTGGTAGAGGAGCAGACCACTGAAGATGCAAAGTTCCCGAGAATGCTGCCAGTCATCATGTTGCAGCATGTACTGAATCCACAAAGGTAAGGAAAGGAGGTACAACAGGTCTGAGATGGTCAAATTACAGAGGTAGATTCCCAGCTCATTCTTCTTCCTGATCTGTAGGTAACTGTGATACAGGGACAGGAGATTAGTTGGGAGACCAATGATGAAGACCCCAATATAGACGGTGGGAAACAGGATCTGGTGGATTCTGTGGTCGACAGAGCAGTTAACCATCGTTCAACACAACCCTGGAATGATCCGTCGAATAAATGTTTTTTATGAAGTCCTGAGTTTGTGATTTCAAACCTCTATGCTAGTTTTACTTTTAATTCATCTTCACTGAAAATAGTCACCTTAGGAGGAGCAAAAGCAGAACATTTATGAAGTAATACAGTAACACAAATCTGAAGCCGAAAAGGAGGCTATTTAGCCCCATACATCTGTATAGTTCTCTACGTACTTTGTCCCATTCACCTGCACTTTCCCCATTGGTTTGCTTTTTTAAAAAAAAGTAGTGATTTTAGTTTCTTGTATTTTTGTTCTCAATTCTCTGAATGACTGCATACTCTCTGTGCTAAACATTCTCACAAACTATTCAGTTAAATGATTATTTTCGATATTCATTCTTGGGTGTGGCATTTATTATTCAATATATTGCCATGCACATCCCACCTTGTTGATATGTCATAGTTCATGTGTTGTAGGTACACCCACAATTTGGTGAGGAAGGGAGTTCCAGGATTTTACCTGGAATCATGAAAGAAGGATGGTAAATTTCCAAGTCAAAATGGTGAGTGACTTGGAAGGAACCCACAGGTGTTCCCATGTAACTGCTGACCTTGTCTCTCTAGATGGAAGTTGGGTTTGTGGATTTGGAAGATTCTATGACAGGAAGCTTATCAAGTTTGTGCAGTGCACCTTGTGTGTGGTACACACTGCTACCATGGCGGATGAGGGGCCATAAGATAGAGGAGCTGAATTAGGCCCTTCAGCCCATTGGGTCTGCTCTGCCATTTCATCATGGCAGATAAGCTCCTCAACCCCATACTGTTGCCTTTTCCCCGTAATCCTTGATCCCCTTATGAATCAAGAATCTATCTCTGTCTTAAATATGCTCAGTGACTTGGCTTCCACAGCCTTCTGTGGCAATGAGTACCACAGATTCACCACCCTTTGGCTGAATAATTCTTTCTCATCTCAGTTCTAAAGAGTCGTTCCCTCACTCTGCAGCTGTGCCTTTGGGTCATAGTCTCTCCTACTAATGGAAACATCATATCTCTCGCTATTCTATAAGTTTCGGTGAGATTCCCCCCATTATCCTTCTAAATCCCATTGAGTACAGGCCTGGAATCTGTAAGCTCTAGGCTGTAAGCTGTCAAAACTTTTCACAGTACTTGGATACATGTGACTACAATAAATCAAATCAAAATTAAATTAGAGTCTTCAACCACTTATCATATGACAAGTCCTTCATTCCTGGGATGATCCTTGTAAACCTCCTCCGGACCCCCTCTAAAGCTAACACATCTGGAGCTACAGAGCCCGAAACTGCTCACGATATTCCAAATGTAGTCTGACCAGAGGCTTATACAGCATCAGCAGTACATCCCTGCTCTAATACTCTAGCCCTCATGGAATGAATGCTAACATTGCATTTGCCAACTGAGCCTGCATTTTAACCTGAAGAGAATCCTGAATTAGGACTCCTAAGACCCTTTGTGTGTTCAGATTTCCAAAGCATTTCTCCATTTGCAAAACAATCTATACCTCTATTCTTCCTATCAAAGTGCATAACCTCATACTTTGCACATTGCATTCTATCTTCTACTTTTTTGCTCACTCTGTAAGTCCTTCTGCAGCCTCCCCACTTGTTCAACATTACATGTCCCTCCACCTTTCCTTGAGTCATCTGCAAATTAGCAACAATCCCCTTTGTTCCTTCATCTGGATAGTGAATATATGACTTGAATCATTATGGTCCCAAAACTGAACTTTGTGGAACTCCTCTAGTCACCAGTTGCCATCCTGTAAAAGACCACTTTATCCCCACTTTCTGCCTTTTGCCAGTCAGCCAGTCCTCGATCCGTAACTATATCTTGCCTCAAATGAGCTGCTTATTTTGTGTGTCACCTTGTCAAAATCCTTCTGGAAATCCAAATAGACCACTTCACTGACTCTTTTTTCTAACTTGCTCATTACCTCCTCAAAGATTTCTAACAGATCTATCAGCTATGATCTCCCTTTGACCAAGTGCGGCCGACTCAGCCCCATTTTGAGGTGCAGTTTCAACTCTTCTGCAATCTCATCCTTAATGATGGGCTCTAAAATCTTACCAACGACTGACATCAGCTAATCGGTGGACAGTTTCCCATCGTCCTTCCTCCCTTCTTAAACAGAAATGTTACATTAGCCATTTTTCAGTCCTCCAGGATCCTCCCTGACTCCAGTAATACCACGCCTTACAGAATGGGCTGCATTGGTGGTGCCAAAGGTCTGGAGTTGGATATCCATGTCCCTGCTGAACATGGCCTCTCCCTCACCGCACTGTCCCGCCCATTACCTGTATCCTGTTCATCTCCCTCAGCCAATTCCCAATCACCTCCATTTCAATTTCCACTCCCTGTCCTAAAACTCTTCCGGTCTCACCAAACCCTCTCTCACTTGTGTCCCTGCAAACCTGCAACTTACTCCCTACCCCAACGGAACCGCTTTGATCCTCTGGTACACTCACAGTAGCGTTGCGAGCCCTGCTTTCAGTTGGCAAACCCCATACTCTCTTGAGTTCGTTCCTAACCCTCTGTGTGTCTGGCTGCATTGATGGAAATGGAGAATGAAAGCAGGCAGTATGCAAACCCGGGTTTATCCAACCCCACCCGGACCATTTCCTGTGGATTGCTGAGGGGAATAGTGACACTTTCACAGTTTAACAACTTCTGAATAAAAACCGTCATCAAGTCACACAGCTCTGACTTGCCCACTTGACTTTCTCTTCTCTCCTCCTCTGTGTGACCTACACTTCATTCTCTCCCCTGGTTTCTCGGGATAGATAGAAAGCAACGGAAGTGTTACCTGTGAGTTAGTCCTGTAAGTCTATTTCTGACTGTGGGAGCCGTTCCCGAATCTCCTTCTGGGGTGAATTGAGCGATTTGAAGTTTGGCGACTCTTTCCACGTTACGGTTAGTCGCCTCTACCTCCCAGGGTTTGCAAGGACTGGCATTCACAAGTGTTTAAGGTTCAAGTAGAAATCAGGACTCAAACCGATCTTTATCATCGATGTCCTCTCACAGAGGCTGAGAACTAACTACGCCATATACATCCTGTGCTGTTTCTGCAGTATTCATGGTCTGAAAGTGAATTTGTGTAGCCGCCAGACAGAAAGCTCTTTCGACATTACAGCGTCTTTCCCTTTCGTGCACGACTCTCCGAAACTTAGAGGCTGTAACCGAGACAAGTCGAAACAAATGACAAAGCGTTCCGAGAAATTTGATTCCATTCCCGTCCCCTCTTTCCCAGCATCATACCCCCACTGATCAAGATCAGTCTTGTCATGTTAAACTCAGGAGATTGTCATCCTGTAGAAGCTTACATTTCTTCAGTTGGCTTGAGCAAAAATATCAATGCCCGTGAACGGGAAATGCTAATATTGTTGGAACAATTTCCTAGGAATGTTATTTTCTGACAAAAAAATTGACGAGTTTCTGTTTAATTGAAGCAATTTTTAGTTCACAATTTAATGTCATCTTTTGAATGTAAAACTTGGATTTTCAACCTGGATAGTCACATGCCCAAATAATACTCAACTCTCCTTAAGGCCCTGCTGACCCAGTCCACAGGTAACTCCCAGCCACTGGTTCAACTGTCCCTTCAGCTGTCCACTTCCTTTCCATAAGCTCCTCAACCACCACCCCTATCACCAATACCACCATTTGAAACATGGTGATCTTCAGATTAATCTCACCACCAGTCACTCTTTCACTGAGAGAGCAGCCCTATGGTCCTCTGGAGTGATGGCAATTTTATTCCTCTTCTTATAATCTGGCTTGTCCTCTCCAACCTCCCCTTTCTTTGCTTCTTTCTTTTTTTCATTTCAATCTCTCACTCCTATCTCCAACCCTGTTCCGTCTGCCACTATCCCAGCAATCCCTCCCATTCCATTTGAGGCAGATAGCCCCCTGCTCTCCCTACTCCCTGTTGGATAACACTGTGAAAATGAACTCTCTCCTCCACTGCCTCTGAGGTCGGCCTTATTTCTCTAACACTGATACTCCATCTGCTGTAAATCCAGAACCCCACTCTCTTCCATTAAACAGTGATACTGCATAATCTTCTAGTAAAAATAACATACTTTTAAATAACCTATTCAGGCATGTGATGACACACCTTTCTAGTGGGTAGGATTTTAAAAATTATTCATTCACAGGGTGTGGACGTTGATGGCTAGATTTATTGACCGTCCCAAAGGCAGACAAGAGTCAATCACATTGCTTTGTGTCTGGAGTCACATGTAGGCCAGACCAGGTAAGGACAGCAGTTTCCTTCCCTAAAGGAGATTAAGATTTTCCTGTCAATCAAAAGTTGGCTCATGGTCATCATTAGACTGTTAATTCCAGATATTTATTGAATTCAAATTCCACCATCTGCCATGATGGGATTGGAACCTGGATCCTCAGAATATTATCTGGGTCTCTGGATTAGCAGTCCAGCAATAATACCACTAGGCCATTGCGTCCCTGCATGACTCCTAAACCTGAGGTATGGACACTACTGTGTACCATAAGAGCCCTCACTGACTTCCTTGCGACTTGACTTGCCTCACCCCTCAATACACTCCACCAGTGTTCCCTGCTCTGACTTTAAGCTGGATCTTCTTGCTCCTCAAACAAATCTGACCTATTTCTTTCTCCTGATTCAAATTTCTGCTTCCATCGTCCTGTCTCTTCTCATTTGCTTTCATTGATTTCTAATCCATGCTATTGTGTAAGGGAATATCACAGATGGTGGGTACATCTCAGGATGGATAGTAGATTTCACAATGCTGGGTAGGTCTTGTGTTGAAATGACAAGACTATGCACATCATTACACATCACTGACGAATAAACAGGGACTTTCTGGGATTTCTCCGTTACATTTCTTCAGTTTTTGGGTCATCATTTGTTTATTGTTGGAAGTATGTATTTTTACGTTCATGGACCATCTGGAAAAAAAGTGGAAGCTTTTGAACTCTTTGGACATTATCTGATTGAAAAGGATCTCTCGTTGTAATTTCTCACAAATGAAGCCAACAGTTTAATGCATGCTGTGATTTGCCTGTTTTATTTAAACTGGGAATCAAGTAACTTTGTAGTAACAGCCAAGCAAAGCTTTCAAGGAGATAAGAGATCAGACACAATATCTTCATTACTAGAAACCATAGCTTTGAAAGGACTAATAGGTCTTGATGTTAATGGCTGCTTAACAAATCTTTCCAGTCTATGAATTCTTTTCAGGCTTCACTGTAAAGAAGACACAATAGTAGCTGTAAGCCTTTCTCCTGAAATCCTGTTTCTCAGTAGAAGTTCCTGGGAACCTGAATATTTCCAAATAGCAGCGCTTCTGTCTACCTTGGTAAAGGTCGGGAAAGATTGTGCCCAATCTATGTTAAAAATCTAGTTAATTGCAATCAAAACTGGAAGTCTATCATCCACATATGACTGTCAGCAGTTCAGCCTTATCAACAGGAAACCAGTGGACATGAGAAACTCTCACATTCTATCTGTTCTTTCCACAGGGCCAGGCCCTGGAAAGGTATAAACCAGTGTTGGCCCTCTCTTTAAGAGAGGTTCAAAAGGTAAGGAGGCACAGATAATGATCATATTGACATGATATTTGTAATTGGTGGAAATGCAGTAGGGACCAGATACACTGTGCGGTGAGTTATTTGAGTTAGTGAGAATTCAATTGCATTTAAAGCTGCTTGTGTATGAAAAAGAAGTGGAGCAATCTAAAAGGCGAGAGACAACAGAATTGTTTTTTTAAAGAAGCTTGGTCTGGAGCTTCAAGCAGAGGCAGAAGGAACGTTAGAGAGAATGGGAAAAGGAAGAAAATTTAAGCAGCTGGATTGCAAATCACAAATGGAAAAAGAAGTGAGGCAAGAAGAAGAAATGTGAAGGAAAGGTAATAATGGATTCGAGGGCTGGAGTTGACAATGTGGCTTCAGATGCAGATGAACGTTCTGATGAGAAAAACACATCTATAGCAAAAGTCCAGTCAGGAGATATTTAAATTGGTACAAACCCTTCCATAATTTGGGGAAAAGAATTTGGGCACATTCTTTATCTTGATTGAGAACATCGCAAAAGATATGAGTTGGCCAAAGGAAGACTGGGCACTGTTCACGCCAAGCAGGTTAACTGCTTAACTCAGAAAACTCATGTATCACTTTCAGCAGAAGTTTCTGTGAATCATAATGCAGAATAAAAGGCTTTTCTGCATATGAGTTAGTTCTTAGGGAGTACAGGTGCATGTTTTGAGAAATAGAAAACAGCCTGTACGGGTCGACATTCAATCTGAAAGGGTAAAGCAAAGTAATTTCAACAACAGGCTGTGGACATTCAGAATAAATGCTACATACCAAGCTCTCCAAGAAATCATTCTCTTAGAAGAATTTGAAAATTCACTTCTCCCAGTGGTTAGTACTCATGTTTAAGACTAGAGAGTTGCAAAAGATAGCTAGGTAATAGAGAGGGCTGATGATTACGAGCTGAGATAAGATTAAACCTTTATTCCATCATCCTCATAAACCTGAAAAGGATGAAAAGTGGGAGAGGGAAAGGAAGGGAAGAAATGAGGATAAGAATGGACAGTTAGGAATTCCCAAAACACTGCTTCTCGGCCTGTAAGGGAGGGTACTGAGGGTGGAAGTGAAAACTGAAGTCCCGAGTATTTCCATTTCATTTAGAGCATGGAAACAAACCCTTCGGTCCAACTCATTCGTGCCGACCAATCTTCTTCACTGTCCACTATATCACTTACTTGGGTGTCATATACAAATTTGTGAACCATACCTCCTATATTCACGTCTAGGTTATTTACATAAGTGATGAAAAGTAGTGGGCCCAGAACCGATCCTTGTGGCACATGACTGGTCACAGGCCTCCAGTCTGAAAAGCAAACCTCTAACGCCCGTCTCCTACCTTCAAGCCAATTTTGTATCCAATTGACTAGCTCCCCTGGATTCCATGTGATCTAACCAGTCTACCATACAGAACCTTGTCAAATTCTTTGCTGAAGTCCATATAGATAACATCTGTACTCAATGGAGTTTAGAATGATGAGAGAGGATCTCATTGAAACTTACCGAATGTAGTGAAGCCTGGAAAGAGTGGATGTGGAGAAGATGTTTCCACCAGCAGAAGAGACTAGGACCCAAAGGCACAGCCTCAGAGTGAAGGGATGGCCCTTTAGAACTGAGTGGAGGATGAATTTCTTCAGCCAGAGGATGGTAAATCTGTGGAACTCATTGCTGCAGAAGGCTGTGGAGGCC